GTATTTTTACCCCTTGACAATTTGTCAATAACACCCTCTTGAGCATGCTGCAGAACCAGGATGGGGATGGACGCTTTTGTTTACTGGTACTCTGGAGTCTCATTTTTTCTGCATTAGTATGGTTTTACATCTTTTAATTGCAAGGGCATATGGCATCAGATAGAGGATAGCAGCTTTAAGTGATCACAGTGATAACTTGCATTATATTACTTTTGTGGTATTGCTATCTTTCTTTATCTAAAACTGATCTGAGGAAACTCAGCAATTTCTTGGCTTTTGATAGCTACCGGTGAGATACAAGTGAGTGCAGGGCAGTAGCTTCATCTTGTAACTTTTGTCTATTTTCCCATTCACACTTTTGGAAAATTGCACTATATTTTCTGTGACGGTGCATGGTTCCTTGAAACAGACTTTAAGATAATTAACAATACTTATGTCTCCGTGGCATGGAGATGTTCAAGCTAGTCTTGAACAGATAAGTAAGATAAATGCTAACAAAGTGGCCGGGTTACTGTGGGCAGAAAATGAGTTGTTGAAACTGCTTCGGTCCTCCCCCAGGTTTAGCCCTGTTTGTAAAAACATTTGCACCATTGATCCTTTCCCATCAATCAGTCCTGCTGGACTCCTGTCAGCTGCTTTGACTCTCTAAACCAGCAGCAAACTAGATAGGGCTGGTCAGTTGTTCTACCTCCCAAGGTCCCGAAATAGTCCTTTCTGGAAGTGCCAAACGAGGGGGTGGGCTTTCAGAGGAAACATGAGGTGGGGAAAAAAGAAAGTAAGGCATTGCCTGCCTTTGGCAGCAAGCCATTAGAGCAGTTGCCTCTGGCAGTGGAGCCGAGCGTAATAGAAGGCCATGGCTAACATACATGTGAGTCAGTCTAGTTCTGAATAACTAAGATAACCTATCTGTTATCATGTTATGCTGCGTACCCTTAAGGTACAGCTCTTTGTAGTTTTCTTCAGTAACGCTGTGTCCATGGCCATTGTACTTGTGTGCTGGTGCTGGCCGAGCCCCCGGCTGCAGGTAGGTGTTCTCCTCCATGGTAGGCTAGCTCAAGAAGTTCTTGCTCATGTTCTCCTGTAACTTCTGTGCTTGCTGCCATCATTCTTCGCTGCGGGAAGTGTTAGATCATTCTGGAAAACCAGGATTAAAAAATAATAAAACTTTAGGGGATTGCTTTTTGTTTGTAGTGGGATCACTTCAGAGATCCAGTTAACTGGTTGATTCACTGAGGAGTAGCAAATTGTAGCATAGATGTGAGAGCTTTGTATGCTGGCTTTCCCAGCTGTAATTAACCTACTGGGAACCACAGTCATGGTTGTGCTTGATATAAAGTTCTTGCTTTTGGAGTCAGCACTAATGACCAGGCCTTCAAACTAGCAAAGGCATTGACTTCCTCTGTTAATAAAAGCAAAATGCTCCTATTGGTTTTCATGAAAGCTTTCCTCCT